TTTTTTTTTTTTTTTTTTTTTTTTGGTATTGGGGATTGAACTTGAGTCCTTGGCCTTACGAGATAGGTGGTAGCACTACTAAGAGAGCTAAATCCCTGGTCCTGCCTGGCTCTTAATATCCATGATTTTGATCACTCTTAGTCCCTCAAGCAGGTGGAATTATACAGTATTCGCCTTCTTGAGATGGGCTTATTTCTCTTATCATAAAATGTCCCCAAGAGTCACCCATATAATAGAAAATGTCAGAACTCCCTTTAAGGCTAATATTCCACTGTATGTGTACACTGCATTTTGCTTGTCCAAACACCTGTTGACTGATGGCTACTTGGACTACTTCCGCCTCTTGACTGTCGTGAATAATGCTGCTAGGAATGTGGGTGTATGGATGTCTCTCTGACCCTGCTTTCAGTTCTTTCAGTAACAGGCAGGAGTTAGATATCTATTTTTTTTCCCCCAAAGTTTTCCAGGTGATTCAAGGAGCAGCCAGAGGTCCACCTCACAGGGAAGTAGGCACCGTGTAAGTGATGAAAGGAGGATGGAGAAAAACTGAAGCGCTTTCAAGACGAGCTGTGGCGCATTTTTGTGCGTCATGAGGAGGATACTAAAGAAACAGTTATTTTCTCATTGTCTTTGTAAAATCCCTCTGTACTTTCAGGATGAGATTCCAGCTCCATGACACTTGATGAAACAAGTATAAGTCACCCAAGATGTGCTAAAGCCCGTGTCGGAGCCCATTTGTGCTGCTGCTAGAACGTAACACCTTAGAGTTGGGAATTTATTCTCACAGCTCTGGCTGGAGGCTGCAAAGTCCAAGATGAAGGCCCAGCCCTGGTGTCTGGGGAGGCTGCTCTGCTCTCCATAGGCCGCCTCTGCTGCTGCACCCTCTCCTGGCAGAAGGCAGGACCAGTAGCTCTCCCTTCTACTTTGAACCCTTACATTTGTTTTATTTTTATTTTTTGCAGTGCTGGGAATCTAAGCCAGGCCCTTACACATGCTAAGCACACCCTCAGCCACTGAACTACCTACTTGCCCGGTCCCAGGATCCTTTTGTAAGGGTGCAAAGCCCAGCCACGAGGCCACAGCCCACAGGCCTCCCCGAGTCCACACCTCTTAGTACTGGTGCACCGGGGTTAAGTTTCACCGTGAATTTTGGAGGGAACACCATCATTCGAATCAAAGCAGCCCATTAGTCACATCTGGGTCTTAGAACAGGGCATGCCAAGCTATAAAATGCCACATTTACATCACCATCCCCAGAAACATTTAGCCTGAGCTAACATTTCCCAGACACAGTAGGAAAGAACTGTATTCTTAAACCCAAGAATGGCACTGGTTTGGATGTCTCAAATAGAAAGTGAAAAACCAAATTAAGGGGCTAAATAGCAGCTTTATGATGGAATTAGCAGAAAGCAGAGGTTTTCTTTCAGACTGAAAAATCGTCATTTGTAGGCCCGACTCTTGCTTTTACACTACTTCCTCCCTTGATAGTCAGGCATGATATGGAAGCCAAGACTCCAATCCTAGAATCCTTTAATTTCCTAGGTTCTACATCTAGTTCTCACTTTCATCCCCGGCTCACTTTCAAAGCAAAAGTAGAAATGAAGAATTTTACCTAAACAAATCCCAACCTTCTCTGGATGGCAAGACTGGTACCTCCCCTACAGGGATCACCACGGGGCGCTGCCGCCCCAAGGTCGGGCCCAAAGGTCCACTTGGCTCCATTGCTTACAGCTTCCTCCCAGACCACTGAACTTCTCTGTCTTGGGAAGGCTCGCGCTCCTTCCTGTTTCAGAACTTGCTCGGTTTGTTCTCTGAAACAGCCCTCACCTATAGACGTCACTTTCCCTGTCCGGCATCCTCTGCTCCATGCTGACACAGCTGGGATGCACTAAAAGAGCCATGACCTTGGAACCCAAGCAAGGAGTACCATGGTGGTGCCACCACAGCAGTACCTCTCATTCTGAATGGGACCAATAGCTGTTTATTACACCATCTTGTGCTACCATAAACCTTTTGAAACAAACAAACAAACAAACAAACCTGCATGATAGGCTACTCAAATAACATGTCTGTTCTTTCCAATTGCTTGGCTAGTACAAATAAGCCTGTGATGAACAACCGACTATGAGGTTGACTTAACTCTGAATAACCTAATTACCTTCTCTAGAGATCAGCTTTCACAAAGTAGGATGCTCACAGGCTGCCGTGATGAGTACACGTAAACCACATACAGCTACATCAAGCACAGCTGGCCTTTCTACAAAAATCAGCTCTTACTGTTGTTGCTTTGAGTTGCATCTATTTTGATTTGAGGTGATCTTCTCTGGTCCTCTTATCCAACGAGCATTTATGTACCTTAAAGTACACAGGCATTGTGATGGCCCTAAGGACACAGAGCTAGGCACGCAGAATGGGAGACGGACATCAGACGAGTCACTATAGAAGTTAACAGACGTTACGATAATCAAGGTAAAGCGTATTGATTTGAGGATGAGGAGGGGGCCACGAAGAGCTCTTTGAGGAAGTGGTTATTAATTAGTGGCTCATTAACTGAGAATAAAGTAAAGTTTGCTAGGTACCACCTACAGCCCCAAATACAATTTTATGGTTCTAAATAGACATGGTCAAATTACTCTCCAAAAGGACTACACATAGGTACTTACTTTCTGCCAGGGGTGGGAGAGTACTTTACCATAGCTGGCCAGCTTCCAGGAGCACAGAGATAATTTAAGGCTTGTAATGCATATTGCCAAATTTGTTCTTTTGAGGGCTTACAATGCCTTCAGCAACACAGAAAGTTATCACATGATTTTAAATGACATGTTTCTCCCACCCTCCTCAGGAAATAACCTGAATCCCAAGGCATGACTGAAAAATACAGTGAATATTTAAATTTTAAAAAAACTTATTAAGTAAAAGACACAGTGGCACTAATCATCCTCAAAATAGTCTCTCTCCTTCCAACACACTTACCTCACCGGTCTTGCCACTTTATGAAGCAGTTCTGGATGTCCCCTTTCCTGTGCCGTCCTGGCTCCATGGATGACCTCTCGTGGGCATTTTAACTTTGGGGAAGAGCTGGAAGCCACACGGTGCCAGACCCACTGAATAAAGTGGGTGAGGACACAGCGTGACCACAACAAGCCCGCCTTTGCACTGGCTGACACTCAGGGGCAACATTCACTATATATATA